AAATGTCATGGATACTCCAACACAAAAGGTGATGTGATTCTGGAAAGCAACAACAAGGAATTGGAGTTGGAACTAGAAGATGGAGAGCAAGAAGCCGAGGATCAAGAGATTGTAGCTGATAAAGAAGATCTCCTGAGCGTCCCAAGAGGTCTAATGACTCGATCAAGGACTAAGAAGCTCAAGCAGGCTATTAGAGCTATCATCAAGGGCCTTGATTCGATTCAAGAGGGAAAAGAGCCGATCACAAGCACACTGATTGTGATCCAAGTCCAAGACGGCTAAGTGGGCTTGAGATCTAGGCTTGTACTCTTTTTCCCTATCTCAAATTTTGTCCTATTGGGTTTTCTTGAGATAGGTTTTTAATGAGGCAAGAATGGATCTCTAATTCGCTTAAGTCCACAAAGCCTTAAGCCCAAGCTGTGCTGATCAAAGGGAGCGTCTAAATCAAATTCAAATTAGCCAGCTTTGTTCTTTGTTTATTTCCGAGATGAGTTAATGTTTGTGAGACTCATCTCTTCTTTCTTTCTTCTTTATAATCACCTGAACTCCTTTGTATCAAATCATCTTATCTTTTATTCTAAAACTCTTTTCTTAAAGATTAAGATCTTGTTCGTTGGTGTGTTATATCCTTCAAACAACTTGAATTGATTTTGTGTGTGTCATATCACTTAGAAGATTCAAGCAGGCGTATCAAGAGTGTTCCGCGACTCTTGTGTGTGTCCTATCACTTCCCCAAAACCTTGGAACGGTTCCGATTGTTTTCAAGGCCTATCCTTTTAAGTTCCAGTCGTTAGAGTGTCGATCAAGGGCAGATCCTTACCAGGATCACATCAAGTGGTATCAGATCACACTCTGAAGTTTGATTCAACCAGGCGTATCAAGAGTGTTCCGCGACTCTTGTGTGTGTCCTATCACTTCCCCAAAACCTTGGAACGGTTCTGATTGTTTTCAAGGCCTATCCTTTTAAGTTCCAGTCGTTAGACTGTCGATCAAGGGCAGATCCTTACCAGGATCACATCAAAAGGCCAGCAAGACTCTAACCCAAAATGTCAGCGAGACTGAAACCCAAACTGGCATCGAGACTCCAAATCCATCTACTACCTGCACAGAACTAATTTTGAACAATGATCAATACTCTAAGGTAATTAATATTTTCAGGAAATTGTTACCAAAACATCTATCTATGAAAGGATTCCCCTAAATATATATATATGTTTTGTTTCTGCAGAATAATGTAAATCCTATGGATAAAAACAAATCCTCTTGGATTCAATAACTGAGCCTGACGTCGATGCTGGTGTTGCTGTGGAACCAGAAAAAAAAAATATTTGTGATGATGATATCTCTTCCTCTGACAAGCATGGACCCAAACCGAATGAGGAGGTAATGTTTAGACCTTCTCGTATCCTTTTAAACTCTTTGTAATAGAATTTCGGAAGGCCTTCGTAAAAAATTAGGAAGGCTTCCCGAATTCCATACTAAAAACTTGATCCGACAATGCAATGAAATGTTTTGCATATAAGCACAGATGGCGGGTCACAGATTCAGGATAAAGATTTGGATATTGAAAAGGTCATCAATAATCAGATTCAGTTTGCTTATTCCACATATCCAATTTTGAACAAAGATATTTTGTTCTCCATTTCTGGTTGATACTTTTTCTTTCATAAACTGTAAAAAAGTTCATAAAACTCTTTATATTTGCAGATATTACAAGAAAAATATATTTAGATACCGTCCACTCCCTGCGCAGATCCTAGTCCCAACAAAGACTAGGTATAAAAACATTGTTGAAATGACTTTCTAATCATGTGTGAGAAATCCATAAAAGGTTAGGGTTTAGAGTTTAGGAGTTTCATTTCTTTATTTTGCAGGCCAGTTCAGAGTTTTTTAGTCAGGTTATATCCTCTTGGGAAACAGTTCAACTTACCCCAGAAAATGGTAGCCCAAGGGTTAGTTTAATGAGTTTGGAGGATTTAACTATATACGAAGAGGTAGATGTCTATTACAGAGGAAACTCGCGAAGAGGTGCTGTCACTTTAATTAATCTTAAGAAAAAAAAAGCCTCTGTCCTCATCTATAAAACACAAGAAATACACGAATTCAAAATTGAAGACATAAGGATTCATAATGAATGGGTAAAAAAAGCACCACTGATGGTTTTTTTTCTTTTTTTAAATGATGAATTTAGACATTTCTTCCAAAACGTATGTCAATGGTTTTTTTAAAACTAGTGGATATTATATGTTTTGTGCTTTAGGTGGAAGAAGACAAGTTTTACGATTGTCCTGCTAATGAGGGACAAACACGTGTGTCACCTGAAGAAAAATATGACTTGAATCTTGAGGTAAGGTTTTTACTAGAATAGTTTGACTTGAATCAAACACTCTAAAAAACACTCTAAAAACAAACTTTTGTTTTGGTAATTGCAGGATAAAACAGATCTTGAGCTACATTCTATTGATATAGGCGCTCATGTGGAGATTAAATCTCAAGTAGGTGGATGGTTTGAAGGAACATTGATAAAACTGAATGAAAATGTCTACACTGTTGAATACTCGGCCAATTTCGTGGATAAAGACACAAAGCTGAAGAAGGTTGTCAACAAACATCAAGTGCGTTCTAAACAACCATCATCCGGAGATGGTCCAGGGGGCTTGATCTGCTATGAGAAGTCGATGTATTTCTCAAAGATAGATGGTGGGAAGGAAAAGTGATTGTTGTCAAGCCGAACAACATATACGGGGCAGAATATCTCAGTTTGATGACGTTCAACTATTTTCTGGTGAAGATATTCGACCTGGAATGGAGTGGGAGAATGGTGGATGGATTTCGAGAGAAAAGGTATTGCTTTCCAAAAACTTTAAAATGTAGATTCTTAAAAGTTTAGGCTTAATGAAGATTGTTACGCTATTCGGAAAATTATTCCAAAAATATTTGCGCCCAAAAATAAATTGCTGTCTGATTCTAATAGTTTTTTAATTGCATACCAACAAGCGATCAAACAAGACGGATTCTACTATTTTTGCTCCTGCAAAAAGGAGAGTGGCTGGTGAAACTGGCGAAAATACTAAGAAAAGATCCAAAAAAGACCAACTCAAAGCAGCTAGTGTTCAAGAATCTCAGCAGGGAGAGGGTTTCTTAACAAGGAGGAAAGGCCAACCCAAAGAATCTACGTCAACCGGGACTCCATTCCGGTGACTAGGAAACCCAGTCTTATATGTAACGCCTAAGGTCAATGTGGTTATTGATCCCTTCCTGACACCTCATATGAGCAGACTGACAACCTTGTATGATTGGAAGAGGAAGAAAGTAGAACGGTGAGTACACTTGTTATATAATATTTGTTATCTCATATTGTTTTTTGCCAACTATTTTCTTTTATGACTAATTCAGATTCAATATCAATAACATTGTTGTTAAGGCTTCCTGGTTCAATAAGTTAGAGGATCCGGAGAAGAGTCTGACTGATGAGGTATTTCTGGGATTAAGAAAGCATTCTTAAATTTGTAAAACTTGTTTCTGAAATTTTATATATAGGAATTGGTTTTAACTGTTTTAGGAAGAGGTTCCTAAATTAGCTAATTTATTTCCTAACTTGTTAATTTGTTATCTTTTGCAGCACATTGCAGCCACGCTTTCGATGGGCAAGGAGAAGGGAGACCTATGCGGCACACTTTCACAACAACCATCTCCCATTAGCTACATTCGTCTACCATCACTACTTTGCACTTCTTTCTGCATGCTATTCAAACTTTAAAAATCATAGAAGAGGTCATCAGTGGTTCTCTGATGATGTTTTGCTAGTTCGAACCGGGAAAGTGCCTCAAGGGAAAGAATGGGGAACAACTGTGAATGTTGTGTATGGTGTTACTTTCAAGAGCAATCATTGGATTGGGATGGTGATCGACTTCAAGAAATGACATATCATAGTTGTAAGGTCTGGACTCCCTTCTGAGAAAAGCGATCTTGTCCTGAACCATGTGAATGAATTCTCAGGTTTATAAACTCTAGCTACTTTATATCAACATTGTTTTCCTTTTGATTTTGTTTTTCTTTTATTGGTTAAACAAATGTGAAATTTTCGGTGTAGAGATGATTCATGTTCTACTGTGTGTTACTTCAAGTAAAACAGTGACGGATGAGGACAGCGTTACTTATAAAGTTGAAGAATTATCCGGAAAAAACATCTCGAAGACCAATATTCCTGCGAATTCAGCTATGTTTGTCTTGAAGATTCTCAAATGCCATTCTATCAGCATTCGAGACATGACGAAGCTTGAGGATGGCACTGCACATTACATCAGAACAAAGCTTTCTTGCGAGCTATATGAGGACTTTTCTCCTACAGAGCTTTGAGGAAGTTTGTGTTACATTATCAGATTTAGGAACATCTTCTGGGATTGTGTTATGTTTCTGGTTTTAACCTCTGTCTATTTGGATTAGTAAACCTTCTTATGACGTTGTATATTTTGGATTAGTAAAGCCTTCTTTTGGCAATTGAACTTTTAGGTATAAACACATCTTGTTTAGGAAAGCTTTCCTAAAGGTTATCTATCTTTTTGAATCTTCATATTCTTCTAAATTTTCAATCTTCTAAAAGAAAACAATGCCCAACATTATCTTCAAAAGAAAAAAAAAGGCCAATACTATATGCAAAAGAAAACAAAGCCCTAAGTATAAAGTCGTATATCAATTATGATGTTTCTGACTTGAATACTGAACGACACGACTATACATCACAAACGGTGAAAGATTCCATTAATTTCATTCTTGAAAAAACGCAACCCTCACAAAAACCGATTTTCGAGGCTCTTTGATCGACTCTCTCTCCTCTTCAAAAACCGTCTCTTCCTCCTCTTCTATAAAAGCTTCGAGGCCCTTTGACCGACTCTTTCTCCTCTTCAAAAACCGTCTCTTCCTCCTCTTCTATAAAAGCCGAGTCTTCATCCTCCATAAAACACACTCTGTAATACAGAAAATAAAGGAAAAAACCTCTTTCAACTCTTCAAAATATATCTTCAAAAGTCTTCATCCTTCGTTAAAAATGTCTAACAAAGTGATTTCTTTGCAACTGAAGGAAGTCCAGAGGAAGAAGAGTGTTTTTTTCACTACAGGTATTTTATTTTTTTCTTGTTTAACTTGCCCAATTTCCTTCACAAAGAAATCATTTTCTGCAGGAAACTATTTTTTTTTTGTTTTTCCAATTTGATTAGGACCAAAGGATTATGACTTGTACCACAGGAAAGCAACCCTAAAAGGGCCTGAGGGGTCACCCTATGAAAATGGGGTTTTCAAACTAAACATACACTTTCATCCAGACTACCTGTTTATACCACCAAAGGTATGATTTTTTTGATTGGGACTGTATTTGTTCATTCGGATGCATTTTAGGAATGGATTCTCGGATCATGTTATTGTCTTTTGATTATTTAGGTAGACGTTCCTAATTTTGTATGAATATTTTTCTAAAAATTTATAAATGATTTCTAAATTTAGAATTTAGGAAGCATTCTTGAATTTGTAGGAAAGAGTCTTACATATTTAGGATTGCCCTCCTAAATCGTATGTTTACCCATTACTATTTGCTTTAGTTGTAGATGCTGATACAACATTCTTACAATTGTTTGATTTATTTCTTGCTGATGTTTTAGTTTACAAATAGCTTCCTAAACTATTCTGAAACATTTCGATAATGTTTTAGTTTAGGAAAAGATTCCTAAAAACTCTGAAAAGATTCCTAAATACACTATGATTTTGCAGGTCACCTTCAAAACTAAGGTCTATCACCCCAACGTGAATACTAATAGGAACATCTTAAAGAAGATTTTAACAAATGTCTATCAGTCCCAAGTACAGCATCAATGATGTATTGACTATTCTTGTTTTTTATTATGAAAAAAGAAAAAAGAAATCATTAGATTAGATTATTGTTTTTGCTAAAATGTTTGTAAATTTTAATGAAAACATGTTCTCACTGAAATTCACAAGCTGTTGACTGCCCCAGAGGTTGAAACAAGGAGATTACTTTGATGAAGAGATAGCCAAGATTTACGTGAAAGACAAGGCTGCTTTTGATGCAACTGCTCTTGCATGGACTCTGGAGCACGCTGAGGCTTAAGAATAATATGTCTTTAAGTTTGGTTATGTGTGGTTTTTGACTTTGATTATTTTTTTTTAAATAAAAATACTTTATGTTTACTTTTATGAACTGGTTTGTATGCTACAATATTTTCCCCTTTTTGGTTATGTTTGGTTATGTTTGATTTCGTTTCAAATCATTTCATCATTGAGTTTACTTAAATTTCTTTTGTCTCTTTAGATTTCTTTTTTGTTATCTTTGTATCTTAAGATCAATGGTTTCAGGCCTTGAACTATGTACAAGTACTTCACCAAATGTTACAGATCAAATCTCAGGAAACAAAGATAGAACGATTAAAATCGTACTCAGTTCTATCTTTAGTACTGTTTGAATATATATATATATATATATATATATATCTTTGGGAAATTATTCCTAAAACCTAATGGTATACTCCTAAACCAATGAACCAATTTGAATCTTAAGATGATGTCAATGAGCTGGAACCAAAATGACAAAACCTATCTAACTCCGATTGAATCCAGACCAAGTACAAAAACTGAACAAAAATCTCTGAGTAAATTACAAGTATCTAAACCAAAACCAAGTACAAGAACTAAATCAATCCAAAAAACTTGGTTTAGTATTCCTTCGGTCTATGACTTAACCCAAACTAAACCGAAATCAAATCAAGATAAATCAAACCAAACTTCAAAACTACGTTAATGTTCTTCTTTAGAGACGAAGTAATTTAGCCAAAGGGTTAAAATTGTGCCAAAAGGATCTAAGCAAAGATGGCTATGGAGCATCCTTACTTCGATGATCTGCCGAAGGATCTAAGCCACAGGAAGAGTGCGGGCCAAACAGTGAGTGGAATCGAAGCCCAAACGTAAGACTATAGCAGAATATATATATTTAAGAATGTTTTCCTAAAACCTTATCAACAGAACAGATAAATTTCTGGCCCCACCAGAAGGTTTGATAAAAAGGATTTCAAATACGAATGAGGCCCAAACGAGACAAAAAGAGAGTTAGGCCTTCATTATGATGTCAAGCCCATATCACATATAAAAATTTCAAAAAAAATCATAACTAAGGCATGAACCTTTGCAAGTGTTTGAATAAATATATTTAGGAAATCATTCCTACACATTTATAAAGGCTTCCTAATATGTTCGAAAAACTTTCCTAAACCATTCCAGAAATTTATAATTTAGTAAGCCCTCTTAAGCATTCTTATTTAACTCTCAAACCTTATGTTTTGCAAAACATTTTAAAGTCTAATGAATCAATAATAAAGTTTGAATCTTTTATATCTCTCAAGCTCTTAATCTTTCTTGTTTAACTCTCAAACCTTAAGCTTTGTAAAACATTTCCAAGTCTAATGAATCAATAATATAGTATACTATTGTTATAAGAATCTCATCACATATAGAAAGTTCAAACAAATCATAGCCAAGGCCTGAACCTTTACAAGTGTTTGGATATATATATATATATATATGTATATATTTAGGAAAAATCATTCCTAAAAACTTGTGGTATATTTCTAAACCAATAAAGAAGCAATCGTCTTGCTAAAAATTCTGTAATATCTTCCTATAAAAAATGAAAACCTTTATAAAGGTGATCTGCATGAACTCCTGTTGTGTCCTCCTATGTTGCCTCTGCTACATTTGTGTCCTTGGGATTTTGAACCGGGTACACCAAACTCTCTAACTGATATTTTTCTCTTTGTTGCCCACTGTTTGCTTACAAGTAGGTGGTGCACATGAATATACTTGTAATTTGGCAAATCTCAACATGGGTGAATGCTCTCAGCATATGCTTTAGCCCAGGTTTCCGTCAAGTAGACCTGATCCACATACTTGTTCTCATCCTTGTTTGTACGCTTAGCTGCAACAATAGCATGGACACAAGGGATTCTGCCGATGTTAAAAATGAGACAAGTGCATTGCTTGTTTTCCAGATGAACAATGTACTTCCGAGTCTCATCCTTTACTTCAAACTCAAACCAATCTACTTGGAAAGCATCAAGTTTCATTGCAGCATTGGATCTCTCTAATATCATCTTCACTACGCGTGGTGTGATGAGCTTTTTGTGTTTAAGAGCTTTTTCCCGACGTTCATGAAACCATGTTGTGAGAGTTAACCTAATGGTCTCATAAAGAGACATTATTGGCAACTCACAAGCCAAGTTTAAAATCGAATTCAGAGACTCCGCAATGTTGGTTGTCATGGTATTGTACCTGTTCGGAGGTGCATACAAGCAAAACCACAAGTTAGAAAAGAGTGAGCAACAATTTAGGATAACATTCCTAAAATCTGTCATAGCTGCTTAAACGTTGTACTTACCTGTTCGAAGGTGCATAAGAGCGAGCCTACTTTGCAAAATCAGATTCTTCTAAAGATGCAGCTAATTTGGGGCTTCTGCTCCTTATGTCATTGAAGATGCCAATGAATTCATGACGAGTATAAGCGTCAGCTGCAGCTTCTACAAGCAGAAACAACCCTGTTCTCCCATACTTGGTGTTATATTCCTCAACAAATGGATTCTGCATATACCATGACGTGCAAGTGGATAAACCACTAAAAGTGCCTTAGCAATGGCTTGAGCTCTATCTGAAACAAAGACCAAATCAGACGTATCAGAGATTACGGTCTTAAGTCCGCTAAAAAACCTGGTCCATGCATGTTCGTTTTCAGAGTCAATTATCCCAAACGCAAGCGTATACAACGAATAATCTCCATCTTGTGCACTAGTTTCAAGCAAGGTTCCCTTAAATTTTCCCTTAAGAAAAGTACCATCCACAATAATAACTCTTATCATCAGCTCAAATCCTCTTATCGATTGACCAAAAGCAAGAAAGTTATATTTGAATTTTTATCCATTTGGATCCATCTCAAGATAAACCTTTTATCCATGGTTTTTCTCTTTAACCATAAACAACCACTTCGAGAGGTTTTGATAGTTATCCTCGAGAGTCCCTCTGATCAAATCCTGAGCAAACTATTTAACCCTCCAAACTTGTTTGTATCCAATGTGTACACCATGGTCGAGTCTGACTTGCTCCATGATTTGTTTCGGGTTAAGAGCATACTTCTTTTCTCCATAATTGCTGCAGATCAAAGTCCTAAGCACCTTGACAATTGCTAGCCTATGGTTGGCATTCCTATGAGTTGTATCACAGTTGTGTTCACTTACATAAGTCCTCACCAGTCACCACAAAGAAATCAGAAGAAAGGAGCTTTGTTGCACACATCCTCCAAGTGCAATTAGGGTCAACACATCTTAACACCACCCTATTGATCTTGTAATCCTAATTTAATATTAATAAAATTGTTTATAAAAGAAAAGACAAAAATTATATATTAGTTCAAATTAGAAATTGTACAAACCAAAAAACAACAGTGGTAAGAATTGAGATGATTCCTTGGGAATTATAGAACACAATCTGATCCTATACTAGAGGTTGAAACAGCTTTACAGCAACTAGTGCAGTAACAATCAAGAAAATCGGTTAAAACACAGGTGAGAACGCGGGAAAATATCAAAAACTGAAATTTGTATGCCAAAAAATTCGAATTAAAATCTGGAAAAAACAGAAAATTTAAATTTCATATTCAAGCTATTGAATTAAAGCTAAATCCAGTATGAATCACAAATTTATCAATCAAGCCGTTAACAGTGCTGATTCAGCAGTCTGAGTCGATTGTCATGTCAACTAAAGCGTTCATAATGCTGAGTCAGCTACCATGTCAGCCGTCATTATTTTAAAATATATATTTAATTTAAATAAATAAATAAAAATATTATTTTTCTATATAGTTTTATTATCTAAAAATAGTTTTATTTAAATCTAATTTTTTGTGTTGTAAATTTTCCTTTAATCACACAAGCTACAAGATAAGACTATCAATTTTATATCTACAGGATAGATAAACAAATTAAATCAAATATATTCAATTATATCAGAATATTTAACCTTCTTTAGTATAACCCCTCATTTGGAAGGGGACAAATATAGCCTTCATTAATTGAAGGAAGGCCTTCTCTAATTGAAATCGATTGAATACTCGCCAATCATCGTCAATTTCAAATCATCGGTGATTGAGCCGATCATCTTCGATGATCTGCGAGATTATCTTCGATTCAGCCGATCATTTTCCGATTTCAATTGAGCTGATCATCTTCGATTTCATTTTACCCGCGAAGAAGATACAATTTAGGAAGAGAACTAATTGATATTCTCAGGAATGAGTTCCTAATTGATACATGTATTGAAATTCCTGGTTTTTTCTTTATGATAGGCTCTATTGAACAAAATATGGTTGAAGTCTTTTGTGTCTGTGGAGAATGGAAGAGAAATGAGAAGCAGGAATGAGATTTTGTGATGGATTCAAACAAAGGTTCGACTATTTTTGAGTTTGATGAGCACCTTAACTCAAAGATTTAAATCTTCACATTTCTCATATCGGCATTTCAAATTCCACCCAACACACACAATTGTCTGCAACTGCACCTATTGTTTCTCATCTCAATGTATCATTCAATCATGGAAATAAACAGCAGACATTTATAATTAGTGTTTACATGGTTCAAGCGAAATCATGGCTGTTATCTTGTAATTTAGATAGGCCTTCCTAAATACGTTATTAGTATTCATAAATAATTTCTAAAAGCTCTTGCATCATTTCTTTCTTTGTGTAGCTACTTCAGTGATTAAATAGAGACGACACTTCAACATGTTCTACTATTGATGTTCTGCGTTCTGCTCCAGATCTTCCTCTTTCTAATATAGACATCTCACATCCATCTGTTAATTTGGTTTAATGGCTGAAAAGCCATAAATGAGAAAAAATTGATCTACCCTGCCATTTTTAAGTCTGGGTGCCATATTTAAGTCTGGGTGCCATAAGGCACGTGATATTCATAAATGAGAAAAAATTGATCTACCCTGCCATATTTAAGTCTGGGTGCCATAAGGCACGTGATATTCTGAAAATACCCTTAATGAAAAGGGGATATGGCATTGCTGATTTTTGTTTTTTTTTATGTTGAAAATCGAAAAAAAAATTGAGAAATAGAAATTCTGAAATTCTTATACCAAAACCGAATCTGGTTTCTCTGAATTTCTGGGTTAACATCCTGAACCGAAACCCGAAATCAAAAATCTTCCCCCAGAATCTTCCGATCGAATCTTCGATCCGTCGTCGTTTATTATCGCTCGGCGCGGTGCGCCGGCCTTCTCTGAACCAGTGGTGTTCGCCAAATCTCGTTGCTGAGCCGTCATTTGGTAATAAGGTAACTTCTTCTACAGTTTGGGGATTAGGGTTTAGTAATCGATTTGTCAATTCTGGTCGTTTTAGGTTGCACATTGGATAGTAGAGTGGCGTATATATGTCGATTTAGTCTTCTGAGTGTTAAAATTTAACTTGTTGCCGTTGAATCGAGCTGAATCGTAGGTTTGTATAGTGAATCAGTGAGATATGGGACAACTGGTACAATTAGGTTACCTGAATGGAAATGGACAACTGGTACAATTGGGTTAACTGAATGGAAAGGGACAACTGGTACAATTGGGGTAACTACATTTAAAGGGAAAACAGGTACAATTCGGGTAACTGAATGGAATGGGACAACTGGTACAATTGGGTTAACTGAATGGAATGGGACAACCGGTACAATTGGGGTAACTGAATGTAATGGGAAAACCGGTACAATTTGGGTAACTGAATGGAATGGGACAACTGGTACAATTGGGTTAACTGAAAGGAATGAGACAACTGGTACAATTGGGATAACTGAGTTGAATTGGGTTAACTGAAAGGAATGGGACAACTGGGACAATTAGGACAATTGGGACCCGGAATGTATTGGGACAACTGGTACAATTGGGATAACTGATTGAGATATGTGGGACAACTGGTACAATTGGTACAACTGTGAGAAAATAGGAAATATTGTTATTCGTTAATGACTTAGTTTTTTTGGTTTTGTGAACAGAAGAGGATGAGCGGCCACACAAACATACATTTTGAGTATGGAGGATGTTATTATAAGGAAGGAGAGGAGTTTAAATGGATATCAAGAAGCTCCATCTATGCTATATCATTTAAAACCTCTTTGGACGAGGTAACATATTCGATGGTTGTAGATGGTATATGCAAGAAGATTGGGGTAAACGATAGTAAGAAGAAGCTCAAGTTAAGCTATATTCCGTTGGTAGCTAAGCCACTCAATGAGTCATGTATTGTTGATGATGGTGATGTGTATGTCTATCTAACAACTGTGGATAAAGAAGGACTTAGATATGTGTTGCATGTGGAGATAATGGAAGATTTGGAAAGAGATAAGATTCAATAGCTAGAAACAAGCGATATTATGCTTGAAATTGAGGAAGCAGCGAAAGAACAGGACGAACTTGCTATTTGTGGCTGTACCTGAGACTGAGAAACAGATAGTGATTGATGATGTTGTTTCACAACCGGATGATCATGAACATGTAGAGCCTGCAAGGTATGGTATGGATGAGCATGATCACGTAGAGCCTGCTGGGGCTTTAGAACCGACTCAGTTTGTTCTAGAATGGGAAGATGGTGCTGGTTTTGAGAAAAATCAAGAATTTTGATCGAAAGAGGCGTTGTGAGTATTGGTTGACAGAGCTTCGTATAAGGGATGTTTTGAGGTCAAAACAGTGAACTTTGATCCTGGGCGACTCATTCTTAAGTGCCGTCAAGCTGAACATGGTTGTTCATGGTATGTACATGCTGTAAGAATGAAGGATTCAACTTACTTCAGCCTTAGAGTATACAGGAAAATGCATAGTTGCTCTCGGGTCCTTACCAGCACAATTGAGAATAAAAGAAAAGATACTCCACAGGTTGTAGCAGATGTTTTGCGTGCATCGTATCCAGGTGTAGTAGACACACCGGCTCCTAGAGGTATTGTGAAGGTTGTTCAAAATGAAGCTCATGTGAATGTGTCCTACTCTATTGCCTTGAGAGGAAAAAAAACTGGCGATTAGTCAAGTGAGGGGTAGTCCGGAAAAAAGATTTCAAAGATTGCATTCTTATCTGTATGTGTTGAAGCTGGTGAACCCCGGTACAGTGACGAGCGTGAAAGTGGATGCTAATAATAAGTTCAAGTATCTTTTTGTTGCTTTGGGTGCCAGCATTGAAGGCTTTAGTTCAATGAGGAAAGTCATAGTGGTGGATGCGACTTTTCTTAAAAATGTTTATGGTGCTATGCTAGTATTTGCCACGGCTCAGGATCCTAATCATCACCATTACCCTATTGCAATTGGTGTAATCGATAGTGAAAAAGACTCTAGTTGGAGGTGGTTTTTAGAAATGGTCAAAACTGTTATACCAGATAATCCTGAGATTGTTTTTATGAGTGACAGACACACAAGCATAGCGAAGGCAGTGCAGGAGGTGTACCCTCAGTCTCAGCATGGATTTTGTGTGTGGCACTTGTCTCGTAATGTGAGGGTTAAAGCAGCCAATGGTTGGAAGGATTTGTGTTCTAAAAAATTCATTGAGTGCGCTCATAAGTACACCGAAAGTGAGTTTCTAATTGCATACACCGAATTTGGTAGAATGTTTCCCAAAGCTGCAGAGTACTTAGAGAATGGTCTTCCTCTTGATAAATGGCACGGTGGAATTTTAAAGGAGACAAGTACAACTTGGAC